TATTATTATTATTATTATTATTATTATTATTATTATTATTGTTATTATTATTATAGCAATTAATATTATTTAATATTTAGTAGCTTGGAGAATAAGCTAGGGTATAGTTTGAGGGCTTTATTTAAAGGGGTCTTATGCTTTGTTATTGGGGAGTTGATATTGAATAAAAAAAGATATTGTCGAGTTTTACGTGTGTTACGAGAGAGTATCTCGGTTACTCGTTTGTCCTTCCACTCGTGCGTTTCCCTGCATCACTAAGTCTGTGCGGGACTTCTCTACTTTGTGCTATAACAAGTTTATTAAAGAGTTGAAAACATGATACATATTGAAGACTATTGGCATGACATCATTGGTGTCATTGATGTCAATGTTTTGGTTTGATCTTGAACTTTTAAAATCTGTTGGAGCAAAAATCAGTGGCGAGGATCTCAAGTGCCGCATAGTTGTTCCCGTCACGTTGTACGTGAAAAATAATTCGGCTCTCGGGATCATCGCCACTGATTTTCGCTCCAACATACTTTAAAAGTTCAACATCAAATCAAAACTTCGACATCAATGACACCAATGAAGCCACGCCTATAGTCTTCGTTATGTTTTATGTTTTCAACTCTTTAATAAATCCACTATAGCACAAACTCGAGAACCCTCTCACGGACTTAGTCATCCTTCGAATTCGTACTCAATCTCCATGAAATGAATGCAAAATAATATACCGGTAAATATGCAGTCGAGTCATCAACACTTCATATTAGTTTGATACTATAATCCAACGGTTTTAGTGGTGTGTGAAAAGGGCTGCAACTTTCTCGTAGTGTTGGATGATGGTTGAACATTTAAGAACCCCGTAAACGACGGTAACTTCAACTGTCTACATTAAAGAACATCCTTCAGAAATTTAAAATTGAGGACGAGGTGTAGTTACTTTATTTTACCCTTCTATTATTATTAAGAAATGTTTAATTTCTTTTTTTAACAAATTAGAAAAAAAATATTTTAACAAATTTCTACTGATGTAATGATTTTTCTTTTTTTTTTTGGTTACTTTATAAATATTTTCTTATTAATTATCTTTTAAAATATAAATATAGTCTTTCGTTGTCGATTTTTCAATGCTTTGTAATTCAATATGTTCATCTCTAAGAATTAGAAATTATCCATACAAATAAGGATCTTTCTTTTGTAAATATTTTTTTAAATTTAATAACATATATATATAGATATATATACACTATTAATTTTTAAATATATGATAATATAATTAATCATATTTTGCCTTACTTTTAGTAGCAATGATTTAGTGAATAGTTGGTAGATATTGGAGTGAAATAATATTTAAAGTTGATATAAAAAATATATAAAAAACGATGAACTTGAGCTTAATTGACATTCTATAAGCTAAAATATCATTTAAGTTGATTCTTTTTTATACTGAAAATTGATATTTTAACTTATAAATGTCAATTAAGTTGCATATGTATCCCTTGTATTGAGAATCAAAGTCCACATAGTTCTTTTAATTTACTTGCCTTCTAACGAGTGGTTGTTTCTAATAGTCGTACTCGTCTTCTATGGTACCGGTTCCACTCGTCGTACTCGTAACATCGGATGCGTCATCGTTGTCGTCCGCTTCTTCGTCTATGAACATAGCCATTTGCATCCTTCGTTCGACCTTCTTCCAATCCATCAGCAGCATTTGTGCTTATAGATTTTCAGGCGTCAACTTCGACCGTCGTGCGTCTAGCATATACCTCCCTCATTGAATGCTTGTTCGACCGCCACTGTAGATTCTGGGACGATGAAAATCTCATTGGCCATCAAGCAAGGAATAGGATATATGCCTTGCATTCTTGACCACTAGTACAATATATCGAAATTGAGTGGCGGACTTGATTCACGCGCAATTGTAAGTATCAAATTTGACATTAGGTAGTGACCTAGCTAATAGTCCAGTTTCCTTTGACCTCTGAACACCAGCATTCTTGTAGGGAGTTAATGATGCCCATCACTCCTTGTAGTTTGAAGTGCCTACTTGACCACCTCCGTAAGAAGACCACCCGCGGCCGCTGCTGCCGCCGCCACGAACAAATGTGCTGAGAGGTTCCCCTTGCGCGATCGATGTTTCCCTAAACATATCATACAATAAATTTTTTGCTTGCTCGACGAGCAACAGTACGTTAGGTTTTTAACTGTACGCCGGAACATCAGTCGGTATTGGGGGTTCATACATATAATTATAGTACATGTTAAGCTGCTCTACCAAGCAAACTTCACGTACTGTAGGATCTAACAAACATGCAACTAAAAATGTATCAGAAATGACATGATAATATTGTAACCATTTCTTTAACATTTCTTCTACTAAATCGCCGTATTTATAAAAATTCAATTTGTAAAGATCTTTAAAAGCTCACATTATAGATATGGCTTGACTTAACACAAATTGAGAAGTAGGATACACCTGAAAGCATGTTAGTAGCATGTTGAAATGTTTCTAAAAATTGAATAAGTGCACTACAGTTTTCTCAATCTTTTGTGGAAACTCGGACATCACAATTCCTACGGTTTGGATCGGTTAAAAAAATTCTCTAAATGCGCCTTAAACAGAACCATGTCACTCAACATTTTAAATGTTGAGTTCAACCTGTCAGGAACGTCCGGTTGTAATTTTTTGGTCTCAACCATTCATTTTTACAAAATCTCCCCCTTGCTTTCATTTCATGGGGACGCTTATGTAAATAATTAACATCGTCCCTAATTGGAGTGACCGAATCTTTCAAAGAATGATAACCAACTTGTACATAGATATTTAAGACATGACATATACAACGAATATGAAAAACTCTTCCCCCACAAATGAGAGTGCAAATATCTGTAAGTTCACGTATAGATGCAATATTGGCAGCAACATTATCAAACAAAATAGAAAACACTTTTTTTTGCCAATTTTATATTTATCCAAATTTTTTTAAATTAAATGAGCAATATTAGAAGCAGTGTGTCATTCATGAAATGCAGCGTAAGAGATTAAACGTTTTTGTAAATTCACGACGATGGACTCACAAATTCCGACAAAGGAGGTCTCGAAGAAGACGTGCCGATATTTTTATGTTTATGTCCGGAGTTCGAACCACGACCACCACCACGAGAGCTCGATATTTTTTTAATTTAAAGAATAAAATATAAAATAGGAAAAAAAGTAATGTAGAATGTGATGAAACAAAAAAGAATGGGGGATGTGGTATATTTTTATTTAGGTATTTTTTGGGATTTTTTCTTGGAAACCGAACACAAAATTTTGGGCCGGTTGCGGGCCTGGCCGGGTCGACCCCCGGCCATGTATAGATTAGTTGTTGGTGGGATTTTGAATTTATATTAAAATAGTATTTAAAATAAATTAATTAAAGTTGATTTGAAGTAAAAATATGAGAGATGATATGAAGTGATGACTAGTTAAAATTATGTGAGTAGATGATAGTGAATTAAAGTAGATGTGATGTGTAAGAATGATTGAGTATTATTATTTAATTATATTGATAATATTGATGATAGTGGAGTTGATTTAAATTTTGAGTTGAATGGAAATTTTTGTATACAAAGAGCCCCTAAATACATCTAACATGTGTATGCATCTAATCAGTTGTAAAAAATGTGACATTTTCACAATAAAAACATACATTTTTTATGTGCAAGATGCAGTGGGCAATCTATTTATTTATTGTCAAAAATTGAGAGGTCAGAAATACAACAACAACATAGCCGCTAGAGATGAAACCCAAGAGAACCGTTTGGTTACGTAGGAATTTCATGAAATGCCAAAAGGTGCGGAATCATAAGAAAAATATGCAAGGGTTATTACATATTATTAGAACTAAGGGAAGAGAGTGCGGTCCAACCAGATGAAGGCGCACCATAAGAGGGTGAGCATAGGTGCACCTTAGTGAGGTTCCATCCCAAAACCAATTGGTGATAGGAGGAGTAGCCCACTAGGCATATATACTAGACCCATTTTCCCTATAGAATCAATGTGGGACACTCACAACAAGTGATATTCGTACAAATTGCAACAGTCATTTAAATTTAAAAAACAAGCACCTCCGCCTTTCCAGCTTTTCCTTGATTCCCACTTCAAAATTTGAAAAACAATAATAATAAAGGCAAAAAGATGGACCTCACAAACATATGATATGGTCTGTTTTTCCTCTTTACTTTGTTTGGACCAACGGCCAGCATTAACAATACACCACATTTCTTTTTCTTATTTATACCCTCACTCACCCCATTACTTTTCAATCCTCACCTCTTCATATCCTTTCGCATTTCTCTCACAAATATACCAAAAAAAATCAATCATTTGCATAGCTACAAACTCAGCTAAAAATGGAGTCAATGAAGATGAAGATTTTCTTGGTAGCCATGGTGGTGGCCATGATGATGGCCGCACAAAATGTGGCTGCTGACGTGGAGGCTCCAGCCCCGGGCCCCTCTGCTGACGCCGCCACATTTGTCCCGGCTGTGTTTGCTTCTGTTGTTGCCGCCGCCTTCGGGTTCCTCATCTAAACCCATTGATATATGTATATCAATGGAGGCCATACCTTATCCTCTTCTCCATTTCTTTTTTCCTATTTTGTTTGGCTCCTCCTATTTCTATTGATTGATTCTTTGATATTATTGTAATCATTCAACATATTGATCATGTGCTCTCCTTAATATTCTCCTTCATATATATTAATAGACTACTGCTCTATTCCTTATCAAATCTCCATCTTTTGTCCTTATTTTCTTTTTTCATTAGTTGATACTCTTAAAAGACGCGATTTTTAAGGCCAAACTTACCCATGTACAAAAACACAAATGTTAAACTTGCAGTAGTTTACAGATGGGATGATGAATTTGCAGTCACCGTTAGTCCTTCAAAATTGTACACATAAAAGTCATTGTCAGAATTGGTGTGTTTGTTGAAGATAATTTGCATGTCGGTGTGGTTCAAGAAGATGGCAATTGTTTATTCAAACAACGCACAATAAGTGGGCTTTAAGGGCGATGGATTCCTTTATCTGGAAGGACTCCGTGCCGTCTTTTCTTCTCGAAAATGTATCGAGTTCATGACTTTGGTTGAATGAGTCTTGATTTTTTATTTGCGAAAAGAAGAAACACACACACAGACACACATAAGCAGAAGAAGAAAACAGAAGAGTGTAAACTAAAATCGCTCGGCTAACATAATGCGTAGAAACAAAGGATTGATCGAAAAGTGAAATCCCAACTAAAAGTTGCAGCTGATCCTACTGCTCTTTGTTTTTTTCTCGTTATCTATAGTCCACCTGCACGTTTACAAATCACAATATGCATTTGAACAGCAAAACATATAACAACACTAAATTGAAACATAATAAGGCTTATGTTGTAGCACGACTATCTATATTCAGCAGTAAATTTATACAACCACATTACAACTTAACAGCGTAAACATTGAGGAGGAGGAGGAGGAGGAGGAAGGGTATGCTGTTTATGTTTTAAGATAAATCGATCCGCTTCTGTATTCCATCCTGTTTATCCTCAAAGAGAGGATCCATCATAGTAGCCACCAAAAGTTATATGAGCCCTGGTAATCGCAACTCCTCTCACGCCCAAAATCGCTTCATTTAGCTTACTCGCATGACGAACCACTTGCTGGATTCTCTACATTCACCAACACAAATATATATACATATTAAGAAAGTAATTATATTACTACTCATGTGCACCAAGAAAAGAAAAAAAAAAAAAAGAGAGAGAAACTTTGATAATTCTTTTTTTCACCCTGACCTGATCACTGGTGTAAACCTGAAACTGAAGCTTCTGCTTGGGATGTATACGTTGGCTGTTGAGGCCAATGATGCAGAAAGTGGCAGCAACAACTCCAAATGAGAAAATTGCACCGATCCCGGTTAAGCTCCATTTCCATATGTTGTTCATCCCACCTTGCTCATCTTCACCATCCAACTTCTTATCCGAATTTTGATCCACACTCTTGTTGTTAACCTCTTCCTCCTCATCAAACTGGAAATCCAGCTGAGGCACGACTCCCCTGCTCGGCCCGGACCTTGGTGACTCCATCTTCATCTCCACAAACTCGGTTTCCTTCAGTTTCTTGAAGAAAACCTGTGAAACTGTGTCTTGCTGATCACTCAAAGATGCCACCTTTCCTGCTTCTGCCACAATCTTAGGTGGCCCCAGATCAATCTGCACAGGCAAGAGCTGATTAATATGAAGCTCATCACCTACTGTTGTTGTTGTTGTTGTTGTTTCGACTGATTTTGGGGGGCAGATGAAGTAATCCATCTCAAAAACACCCGATCGTTTGGGCGAGTAAACCTTTTTGCCAGCGTCCTCATCGAGAAATCCATGGTCAGGAAGGAGCTCCCACTCTTCAAGATCCATTTTTTTGTTTTTTCAGTTTGAGAGAGGCAAGAGTTTGATATTTGTACAGCTGCTAAATTATTGGATTCAATCAATGATGAAGGTGGCTTGGCTTGCTATGTAACTATAATTTCCCATTCAGTGAGGAATTTTATTTGAATTAGACCACCCCAAAATGTGATGTGTCTTCTTGCTCTTGGAGGCGGTCTTCAACTAGTTTGCTTCTTTACTGTGAGGTGACACTCATGTCCATGAGCACCACAAAAGAAAGAATAGGGGACCCCTTTGAATAAGTTGCTAGATATTTCTTTCGGAAATTTCTATTTAGCATCCCAACCTTTTTTTAGGAAAAGGAAAAATGGAGTTGAAAATGCATATATAGAGAAATGTATAGTAATTTTTTTAATTATAAAGAACAATAGTAATAAGGAATAAAAGTGGGAGAGCCAAGGATAAGAAGGTTGCTTGCTAAAGTTAGATAGGAATAGGAATGAGATGGCCACCAGCAAAGCAAACGGACAAATGGGAAAATTCAATCTGCCGTCCAAAATGCTTGCCGGTTGATAGGTGCATATTCTTCTTAGCTTGTGATTTAATAGTGTGTTCAAAGTTGTTTGAATCTTTACAGAAAGAAACCATAGTTGATCAAATTCTTCAAACGGCCATGTGTTAGGTCTCAAATTCAATTATGTGGACCACAACATATGATACTCCCTCCACTCCAGACTATTTTCCCTGCCCTGTGTTATTACAACAAAACTGAGATAGACCCACTTTGGATCCTCTGTGTGAGATACCAATCTGTCATCTAATCACAGTACCCAAACAGCCCTCAAAATGGAAATACTTTCATGAGTACTGTATTTTTCACAACATTAATGTGCATATATAAAGGTAAAGCTATATCACACAAGAGGAAACTGAGGGTAGCTAAATAGTAGACGTGGGCGGATGAGAGGCATAAGGCAAAGGAGGTGACTCGTTGCCATGGGCCACTCACTATTAAATACCTCACCTAATTTCATGACAAAGGATGAAATACATAGATGAATTCCAAAAAATAGAAATGTTTTGCTACTTTTATCTCCATCCTAAATGAGGAACAGAATTTTAGTCGCGCCACTAAGTGAGAACCACAATACTGGGATAACAACAACACTTTCCTGCAAACACAGGGCTACAACAAAGTATAACTTCACCACCAAAACATGACTACTAAAAGAAATGGGCAACGATAAAAGCCAAAATCCCAGTTTTCATTTCTCAGCCAGCAGCACAAAATTCAAACAATCAAAATCTTCAGGTTCTGCAACAAAAATACATTTTATGCCCATCCATAGTGACAAACATTAACCAAAAAAATTCTCATAGCTCCTTAAATCAAAATGAAACATAACATCCAGGCACAAAAACAACATTTTTCTGGCAACTTGGGAAATTTTCCACTCTCAACGATTGGCCTTGGCAACCCTCTCAATCTCATCCTTCTTCTTAATAGCATAACTGCATAACAAGACCGCCAATTCAACATGTTAGTTCAGGAAAAGCTACACATATTTGGTGCACGAAAAAGATTCACAAATCCTTGTTCACCTGTTGGAAGATCCTTTGGCGGCATTGATAAGCTCATCAGCAAGACACTCAGCAATGGTTTTAATGTTCCTGAAAGCACTCTCACGTGCACCTGTCGTGAGCAGGTAGATAGCCTGATTCACACGGCGAAGAGGAGAAATATCAACGGCTTGCCTCCTCACAACTCCAGCTGACCCAATACGGGTTGCATCCTCCCTTGGACCACTGATAAACATTAAACAAAATGCACTTAAACAACAGATCTAGCACGGGCCTCAGTTTACAGGATCATCAACCAGTGACTTCAGCTCGATAAATTAACACACGTGAGAGCAAACCTGTTGATAACAGCATCAACAATGACTTGAATGGGGTTCAAATCAGTCAACAGATGGATGATCTCCATAGCATGCTTCACAATCCTAACAGCCTTGAGCTTCTTCCCATTATTGCGCCCGTGCATCATGAGAGAGTTGGTCAGCCTCTCAACTATTGGGCATTGAGCTTTCCGGAATCGCTTTGCTTGGTACCTTCCAGCAGTGTGGGGCATGTATGTCGGATGCTTAGCTGCAGTTGCAGTTATGTAATCTTCCACAGAAATGTCACTAACCTGAATGAGCAGAAAAAACAAGTTAATAAAGGTCAAGACAGTTTGCACGCATGCTTAGATACATGAAATTTTACAAAGAAAACCCAGAGTTAAGAAGTCAATTACTATATATGTCGTTAACATGCATTTGAAGATCCCCACAATTTGAAGATTGGTAAAAAACAAAAATGGGGTTTTGATAATAAAATATATATCGAATGAGCTGCAAGTGGAAACTAAATAACTAATTGCACAAGAACTGGTTATAAGCTCTGAGGTTCATATAACGTATGACATGATAATTGTTCTTTACTTTGACAAAAATTCTGGTGCCGACAGAAAGTAGTACAGAAATCGGAACGCGGCATAGCATTCACTAAAATCAAACTCAAAGGCCTAAAATTAAATCAGCCTACACTTAAATTAATATAGTTAGCAACCCCGAATAGAGCACACCATAAAAAATGGACAGAAGAATAAGAGATTAATAAACCCAAATCATCTATCAAAGCAAAAATTTCAAAACCATATTCATGGCTTGATGACTTCAATCGAAGTGTTTCCACATATGAAGCAACCATTTAGTCCATATTTCAGCTAAATAAAGCTAGAATCCAAGATACAGACCAATTTACAAATTTACAAAAAAA